GCTACTCGACTCTTCTGACATATTTGAACTGAAATCACTCTCTTTTCCTCATGAATCATGATAGTGGATAAATTTGAATCCCATGTGGCTCTACTATTGTTTTGACATCCTGTAAACAAGAAGAAAACTGATTTAATTTCGAACAGTGTCTTGAAGCCGTTTACATCAATCTATTCTGTGTTTTTAAACCAAAAAGCGAGCACTCGTGGGAAATACAAAGTGAACAGTAACATGGAATTTTAAATGCTGCCCGTGTATACGAACTGCACTTAAAAATAAGTGTGCACACTAAAGTTCACACTTATCCAAATACGTTGTATATGTATGTGTATTGGTTGTGCATAAACATACGAACTAACGCACATTCCTCTTTGTATTTTTCGCACCAAAGACAGCGAGCATACAACAGCACTGTGATCTAGTAAACATTGAATTCATTATATATGCTCACCGTTTTCGTTGGTGCGAGTAATACAAAGAGGAATGTGCGTTAGTTCGTATGTTTATGCACAACCAATACACATACATATACAACGTATTTGGATAAGTGTGAACTTTAGTGTGCACACTTATTTTTAAGTGCAGTTCGTATACACGGGTGTACATACACATTTCGTTTGCACATCACAGCGTCCCTTCGTGAAAAATGACACTGACTCCAGGAATCGTCCAGAAAAACAACTGGTAACTTTTTACATTGGTCAACTGAACGATTTATCGTATAAAAAAATGCAATCATAGTAAGTCGATTAGGTCCGAAATAGATCAGCACATATAATTAAGTGGCCCAGACATTCGCTTGATTCAATTGTTTTCATTAGTAAATTCTCTAATGACATTTTAGTATGTGTGTATGTAACGATAATGACTATTGTCGAATAGCAAAAACTCAAATAATTAATAAAGTCAGTTGCTCGCTTATGTTCAAACCATGCGGTTTGATTTCATTTAAATAACATAACATTCACTAATTACATGTCAATTTGCATTAAAATCGTGTTTGCGTGACAACATTTCGAAGTGTCGATAATGGGTTGTTGGCTATTGTAATTTGAAATTCATGTCGTGTCCAATAAAACCACAAAAAAGTGTCGAATGTCTCTCGGTTGCAAATCGTTTAAAATTGATAAATTCTTTGTCGGCTTACAAAAAGTTTTACACAAAAATGAATGATAAAAAAACCTCTCGTGCTCCCGTGCTTATTTTGTTCGCAGCCGTATATTTTCAAGCTGTTGATGCGATTCAATACAAAACCGTCGAAATCGCAGATGGGTATATAAGAGGTCAAATGCATAAAACATTCATAAGACAAGTGCCATATTTCGAATTCAAAGGCATACCATTCGCCAAGCCGCCCATTGGAAATCTTCGATTCAAAGTAACACTGCTGAATACAATATCAAATTTGAATTTTGAATAATTCATTTTCGAATTTTAGGCGCCCGAACCGATAGATCCATGGAAACCGAAAACAATTGATGCATTCGAATTTGGTAATGCATGCATGCAAGATTCAACACGAAATTTATATGTCAGCGAAAATTGCCTCTATTTGAATATCTTCGCTCCAGGTAGGCTCTTTCTTGAAATATTCAAACCGAAATCGATTGAACCTTTTTTTTTGTTTTGCTATTTTCTTCAAAAGCGAATGCAAATACCGAAAAGTTAGCAGTGATGGTTTTTGTGTATGGTGGTTCTTTTGTGTATGGCGCAGCACAGGAGTTCGGTCCAACATTTTTGATGGAACAAAATGTAATTCTTGTTACATTCAATCATCGTGTTGGAGCATTTGGGTTTTTATCACTTGGGACGAGGGAGTATTCAGGAAATATGGGATTGAAAGATCAACAATTGGCGTTTAAATGGGTGCACAATAATATCGAACACTTTGGTGGTGATAATACACGAATCACCATTATGGGACACAGTGCAGGTGCCAGGTT